GCCCCAGCAGTCTGGAAAACCAACTCAGGGACCCCTAGCACCCTGCAGCCAGAGACCCTGGGACCCATCTCTGGCCTCTAGTGAGCTGGCCCTGGCTTTGGGATCCCACGGGCCCTATCCTTGGCCACCAGTGAGCAGATACCAGCCCAGGACCACCGTAGCCCTGCATCCTGCCATGTCAGGACCTAGCCCAGCCACCAGCGGGGCTGGCCCCATCCCTGAACCCCCCAGCCTGCCATCAGGAACTGACACTAGGTCTGGGACCCCTGGCCCCACAACCACGCCAGAAGCTGGCTCCACCTGCCACTAAGGCAGCACTAGCCCTGGAAACCCTGGGACTCCACAGCCTCCTGCCTTATGGCTGGGCCCTGCCCACTAGCACCCAGCAGCCTCAGCACAAGGCAGGGCCTAGAACCACCTGGGCCGTGGGCTAGCCACACCTACCAGATGGCCCACAGCAGTCAGCCTGCCACCACAGAAAGAACCACGCATCCCACGTTGGGGACATGCCTAGAACAAATGGATCTGGTGACCAGAGGCGAGTGTGCTGCTGGGACACACAGGACATCTCCTAGAAAAGGCCACTTCTCTAGGGTCGGGAATCGTAACCAAACCTACCAGATACGTAGAAATAAAAACAGCACATTAGGCAAAATGAGGCCACAAAGGAATAGGCTCCAAACAAAGGAAGAATATAAAACCCCAGAAGCAGAGCTAAGTGAGGTGGAGACAGGCAGTGTGCACAATAAACAGTTCAAGGTAATGATCGTAAAGACGTTCAAAGAACTCAGGGGAAGACTGGATGAACAGAGTGAGGAGTTAGAAGTATTTTTTTAACAAAGAGGAAATACAAAGATCCAGACTATAATAACTGAGATGAAAAAACCTAAAAGGAGAGGATAGTGGATTAAATGATACAGAGAAACAGACTAGCAAGCCGGGAGACAGAGCAGTGGGAAGAGGAACAGGAAAAAGGAAAAAGCATAGAAATAAACGAGGACTGTGTGTGTGAGTGCGTGTGTGTAATAAGTGTGCAAACATAAGCATTGTGAAGACTGTGACTGCATCAAGCTTCTCAGAGGTCTCCTCGTGGTGAACCTTTTCTGCTTCTTCAGCCATGTTTCTGACAGAGAGAGATGGTAAAGGTGTCCGTGAAGGACTGCACGTTTAGCCAATTTCCTGGTAATTCAGCTGGAGAATTTCTAAAGGATCGTGACCACTGAAAATCTTCGTAGATTTTAACTTTCATCAACATGAACATTCCTCTGCAGGACAGAGAAGGTTACTGGGTGAATTGGTCCAAATGAAACCTTGCAAAGCTCTTTGTGCCCCAGACAAGAGCCTTTCCAGAAACTGCCCCTCAACATGTCTCCATCCCCAGCTATTCCCCGCCTGATATCTCTACTTTAAAATGGGGGAAATGGATCTGTTATAAAGGAGCCCCTGGGTCACAGCCAACACAGGTGTGGTATCTGTTCAGGGTCTTTTAAAAAATAAGCCACATGTTTAAGTGAAACAAAAAGAGGAAAAGGATATATGGATATAGAACTTTGAGACTACTCTTTGCAATATGTTAAGATGGGTTCAGTAACCTGTAATTCTAACACATTCTTTCAGGTAGGTCTCATGTGCGTCTTGGTTTAGAACCACTGGCCTCTGGGTTTGAGAATCATTTGGGTGGAAAGGTCTCAGGTTCCGAATTCAAGTGAGTCCACTTCTTGGGTCCTTAAGAGCATGGGTTTCTGAGTTATAAAGGGTGGAACAGCTCTCAGAAAGGCCCTAAGGCGCTGACTGCACACACAGCCACTGCAGGCCTCCCGTCCCTGCACACGCTGCCTTCTGGTGTGTGACGCCCATTGGACAAGGTCTCAGCCCCTGGGAGGAGTCACGGTTTCTGAAAGAAGGGACGTGAGGGCCCTGCGGCATCGCACACATCTTCCATGTCTGAGTCTGTACATGGTGACTTTGCTGAACGAGGCTACTTTCAAGATGTGCTGAAGGGAAACGTCTCTCAAATTTTTGGTCGACAAGTTGGGCACATCCTTCCTGCCAGGCCCCAGCACCTTCTGAAAGCTCTCAGCAGCAGAATCAGCTATACAGTCAGGAAGCAGAGTCCCATCTGCTCTGCCCTGGCCGCTCTAGGAGGACACGTCCTGTCTCAACCTGCAGCTCTCACACGAGACACAAGGGCTTTAGGGGAAGTACCAGTGATGGCCACAGCGAGCCTGGGGAAGCGCCTTTGGGACTCGGCTGTTCTGCAAATTCACACCCTGTCTTGCCCCCTCAGAAGGGACTGCACCCAGTTATCCCAGGACACCAGCACCTCTCCCAGTCCCCACTCTCTGGGACCTACCAACTTCCTGGAGAGAAGTTTTCTGGAAAACGGAGTCTTAGAGCCTCCAACGACAAAAACACCCCCTTTAATTCCAGGGACTGCTAAGACGCCAAGGAGCCTTCCAGCTCTACTGGAATTAACTCTGACTGGTCAACAGAAGAGTCTGACATCTTTTCTTTTAGCTCTTGCTCCTTTAATTGTCAAGTGATGACTACAGTAACACTGAACCAAGAGGAAGACTGTACATAACCCCACAAGCCACCCACAGGCATCCTTGTGTGCTGCAGCATTGCTCACCTGCAGATACACACTTGAAATAATTTGTTACCCAAGTAAGAAGTGTGCCACCAGGGGAGGAGGTACTATAGGACCTTTACAATAGAGAGCCCCACCTTACCCACAGTCACAGACCCTGCCAACCACTTTTAACCAATTCTATTCCAGCTCTTCCTGAGGCCACCCTGGTAAGTCTTTCATGGTCCATAGACTTTACTGACTTCCTGCTCTGTTAAGGCATTTAGATTTGACTCACATTGCTGCTCCTCCATTTGTTTCCGATTTTTGTCATATTACTGTTTTGAGCTTGAATTTTGGTTTCCTAAGTGACCTAACGTGTTATATTTGAAAGTGCACTTCCTAAGATGAGGACACAGGGATACTCTCCACCTCTCTTCTACTTTACAGCAGACTGAGCTGTCACTGTTGGGACAAGACTGGGGACAATGCTGCTCCACTACACTGCCATTATGAAACCTCGTGTCACTGCTCTGAGGTTCTTCCTAAAGTTAAAAAAAAAAACAACAAAACCTAGTATTTAATGTTATTTCACAGCTATGAAAACACAGTTTCAGTGAAAGGTCAATAAAAACAAGAAGATTGTATTCCCCCCTCTTTTATTCCAACTTCATGAGTCCTCTGCTTCTTCCAGGGAGAATTATAAGCATCAGGGTCCAAGGAGGACTTCTTTCTAAAGTGTGCTTCATTTTGGACTACAGTTGTCTTGTACAAGCTGTACATTTCCTCTATTTGTTTACTTTGAAGTCTCTAAGTTGTTTTTTTTTTTTAGTTAGAAGAAATATTCCTTTCTTGGTTTCAAAATTATTCTTTCCAGAAGTGTCTTTTGATCTTTTGTGTGTGTGTGTGTGTGTGTGCTGTTCTCAATTTCTCATGCTGCATGGATCTTATTAATCCCGGAAAATACTGGGTATGCTCTGAAGATCTTTCAGCTCTGGAGAAGTCTCCCTTTTTCTTTTTCCTTCCTTCCTTCCTTCCTTCCTTCCTTCCTTCCTTCCTCCCTCCGTCCCTCCCTCCCTTCCTTTTCCCAACAGTCTTACTTTTAATTTCATAAAGTCTATTCTTCCCATAATTTTTCTTTTAAAAAACCACCTTGGGTTTATTTTTCATTAGCAATTATTTCTTGAAGCTCTCCTAGAATAAAATATTTAAAATATTTGGTTCCTCTGAACATCCATTCTCTTTGGGGTTTTTTGTTTGTTTGTTTGTTTTATCTTAGACATTTTTTCTTTCATGTTGGAGGCTTTCTTCATCTTTCACTCCTTGGCTCCCATCCATACGGAAGATCCTATGAGAAAGCAAACGGGAAGCTCCACAGATGGGGAGACCGGTTTAATGGCGCACTTTGCTTTAGGATGAAAAGGGCAAGAACTGGGTGTTAGATGAAGGTCCTTGAAATGCCCAAATAAGACAGCCCCTTTCCTGGAGCATAAAACACCATATTCCCTAGACCCTCAGATTTTTTTTTTTTAAGCACGTAACTTCTTCCCTACTTTGTTTTTTTGCTTACCCACAGCCAGATACTTAATGCAAGAAAAGAAGGGGCAAATTTGGAACTTCATGGAAAGACCTTCAATTAACCCTGCTTCCCTGCCCTGCCGGTAGGTCCGCAGCTCTGCCAAGGGGCCGCGACCTCCATGCCGCAGTCCTCTCTCTGCAAGTTCCCGGCTTCAGCCTTCTTGCTCTGTGTCTCCACGCGATGCGCTCCCACCTGCTCCACAGCTGTTACTTATACTTCGGCCTTTTATTGAACATGCTGCTGAGTGGACCTCAACTACCACCCGTGTACGTGTTTATGTGTTGGAACATTTTGTGTATATACTATTCTGGGTCCTGTTTTCACTTCACTTGATAAGTTTTCTTACTGCTATGGACCCAGTTCTGCTTCCAGCCAACCCAACTGAGCAACAACGTTGAGTTAGAGCACAGCAGAGTCCCTGAAAAATTCAGTCTTTCAATTCCAGTAAAACCATTTTAGAAGACTTCCCATCCTTACCCTTCCTTCAATTTGTGTTTTTAATTGCTGGGTCACATTGAACATGACTGGCTTCAAATTTCACCTCTCAACACCAACTTCCTCATGCACTGGTGTCTTCTTAGGTTGAGTGTTTAGGGCTCTGTATCAAGAATATCTTTCAGTCCCCCACCATTCCCGGGAATGTGTTACAGGGACAATATCTGATTGAGTTTGGGTGACTAGCTGCACTAGAAAGATTATCTGGTGGGTACAGCTCTATTCTGAATTTTCTAACTCCTGCTAAGAGCTCTGACTGGATGTGTTTCATCAATGGTCATGTTCATAGCTTCTTACCTAAATGCAGAAGTGAATAAATTTTACTGTGCATACAAATCACTCACGCTGCTTTTGGAAACTGTAGGCTCCTGGGTTTTAATGCTTGAGATCCTGATTAAGGAAGGCCAGTATAAGCTTGGCAACGTGCAGTTTCCACACACACTCCAAGCAATTCTGATGCATGTGGTCATTACAGTACACTGAGTTGTACCTTGGTCATCGGATATCTAGTAAAGAAAGTTTGGCCATGAACTTTTCCATCCTGATTATCTACAGGGCTTATCTCCCATGGGTTTTCTCATGTTGAATAAGGGATGTACTGTAACTGAAAGCCTTCCCACATTCATTACATTCATATGGCTTCTCTCCAGTATGAATTCTCTGATGCCGAGTAAGTTGGCACCGCTGGCTGAAGGCCTGGTCACAATGATCACATTCATAGGGTTTTTCTCCAGTGTGTGTTCTCTCGTGTTTTGTAAGAGTCGATCGATCACCGAAGGCTTTCCCACAGTCAATGCATTCATAGGGCTTCTCTCCAGTATGTGTTCTCTGGTGTTCAATAAGGCGTGACCTCTGGCTGAAGGCTTTAACACACACGTTACACCGATAGGGCTTCTCTCCAACATGCGTTCTCTGATGCACAGTGAGGGGAGACCTCTGGCTGAAAGCCTTCCCACAATGACTGCATTCATAAGGTTTCTCTCCAGTGTGTGTTCGCTCATGCACAACAAGCTGGGATCGCTGCCGAAAAGCTTTGCCACAGTTGTGACACTCATACGGTTTCTCTCCAGAATGAATTCTCCGATGTGAAAGCAGGTGAGAGCTCCCAGTGAAGCCTTTCCCACACCGATTACATTTGAAAGGTTTCTCTCCAGTATGAGTTCTCTGATGTTCAATTAGGTGAGAGCTCCCAGTGAAGGCTTTATCACACTGACTGCATTTATACGGCTTCTCCCCAGTGTGAATTCGCAGATGCCTAATGAGCTGAGTGCTTCGAATGAAGGATTTCCCACACTGGTTACATTCATAGGGTTTCTCCCCAGTGTGAGTCCTTTTATGTGCGACAAAGTCAGAGCTCTGGCTGAAGGACCTTCCACAGTGAGCACACTCATAAGGCTTCTCTCCAGTATGAATTCTTTGATGTACAGTAAGATTAGAGTTCCACCTGAAAGACTTTCCACAGTCGTGACACTTATATGGTTTTTCTCCAGTGTGAGTTCGCTGATGCCTAAGAAGTTTGGAACTCTGGGTGAAGGATCTCCCACACTGGCTACACTCATAGGGCTTTTCGCCAGTGTGAGTTCTCTGGTGTATGACAAGGTCATAGCTCTGGCTGAAAGACTTGCCACACTGAGAACATTCATAGGGCTTTTCACCGGTATGTGTTCTCTTGTGTACAACAAGCTTAGAGCAACAGCGGAAAGTCTTTCCACACTGATTACATGCATATGGCTTCTTTCCAGTCTGGATGCTGTCACAGCCAGTGAAAGACGAGGCCATGTGGAAGGTATCACAGTCCTCCTTGCATCTGAATGGCGCCCCTCCAGGATCTCTTATTTTAGCTTGTGTAAGACACTTGTCACACTCATTCTGACTTTCTCCAAATGGCACTGACTTGCGTCCATTCAGAGACATGCTACGATTAACATTGTTTCCACAGTCCTTACCATCATCCACGTTCTCTGCTGAAAAAATTCTGTTAAGAAAACACAGGGAGGTACCACAGTCGAACAAGTCACTACTGACAGTATGTTCATAAGGTTTTTTATTTCCTGTTTCAGCATTTGCAAGTTTATTTAAGTAAATGCTCTGAAAGAAGGTTCTAGCCCTCTGATCATCTTCATAGGACTTCAGATCAGCCCAGTCTTTCTGATGATTCATGAAAACCGAGTTCTGTTTCACATGTGAGTTGAGCTTATGGAAATGTGTTCCTGTGGGCAATGTGGGAGGTAGAAGGCTTAAACTCAGACAACTTCCCCTGAGGTCATGCTTACAACGCCCTCTTTGAGCAAACAGTCTTTCTGAGGTGAGCACTTGATCCAGGGAGTCCTCCTGGTGCTGCCCTGGCTGGTCCCTCCACTGCTGCACAGCTCCAAATGACACCAGCCAGGGGCCCTCTGTCTGCACACAGTGTTTCACTTCCACGTGGTGGGAGCATTCTTCCACAGCAACACCCTCTTTCTTTTCAAGTGTAATCTTCCAGTCTGAAAGAAATCCAAAACGCCTAAGTTATTGGAGGTACGCTGGAAGGGGCTGAAGGAGACCACCGAGTATGAGTGGTATCTCTGGGTTTGTGTCTCATCCGTGGACTGTAATTTCATACAGGACGTGAAAGGCAGACTGGATCGGCAAATAGGAAACCAGTGGTAAAGTACAAAAAACAAGCAAAGACAAAGAAGAGACAACTCAGGACTATGCCCAGAGGGAGCAGAAGAGCAAAGTAAGTAGGGAAGGGTAAAGATCAAAGGAGAAATCCACAAAAAGACTTGGGTCTGGGGTCTTGTTCAGCTATTGAGTTGGGAAGCAGTATGGCACAGAGATTAAAAGCAAAGACTTCAGGGAGAATATGTTTACTTTCAAATCTTGAACTTACCATGTGACCTTGACCACATCTGTAAGATGTAAATAATGGTATCTACTTTATCTATATACATCTCTGTGAAGGTTAAATTAATATTCATAAAGTACTTAGAATAGAAATTAGAACATACCAAATACTGTATGTAATTGTTACATAAACAAAAATAATTAGTCAATAAAAAAAATTGGGTCTGAACAGCCCTCGATCACAACAGATACCTATATCCACTTTGTTGGGACCCATCAACATGGTACCTTATTTGGGAAAAGGTGTGTTACAGATTTGAGATGGGGAGATGATCTGGGTGGGCCCCAAATGTTATCACAAATGTCCTTATAAGAGACAGACAGAGATCTGATACACACAGAGAAGGCAATCTGAACACAAAGAGACTTGAGGAAGTTGGCCTTGAAGACTGGAGTGAGACGGCACAGGCCAAGACCACCATGGCCACCAGGAGCGGGGGGAGACAAGGACAGGTTTCTACTGCGGCCTTCAGAGGGGGCGCGGCCCTTCCGACAACTTGATCTCAGCTAGCGGGACTTACTTTGGGTTTCCAGCCTCCAGAACTGCTGCAGAACCCATCTGCGTTGTTTCAGGCCATCAGCTGGTAATCTGTTACGGCAGTCACAGGAAACAGGGTCCTAACTGGGTTCTCAGCCTTGCGACCCACAGTCTCAGTCTATCTACTTCCTCGTGCTGGATCTTGAAATGGGATCCCAAATACCAATGCTGACTTAATTTTCTTTTATTGAAGTATAGCTGATTTACAATGCTGTGTTAGTTTCAGGTGTACGGCAAGGTGATTCAGTTATACATGTGCATATATATCCTTTCTCAGATTCTTTTCCACTGCAGGTTATTGTTAAGATACTGAACATAGTTCCCTGTGCTTTACAGTAGGTCCTTGTCTTATATTCTTAAAGCACCATTTCTACCATTGATCAGGCTGCCCACAGAGAAAGTCTCTTTAACTCCAGAATGGATGCCAGACTCCCCCAAAAGTGTGGTGGTCCCCAAAGCAGTGTGTTTGGCCAGAGAGGACCACAAGTGGATGCCACTGATTGGCGACTTCTGAGGCTCCCTTCTCTCGTGGTCAGCCAGGAGTAAGAATGCATAGCTTACAAAGGTTGCTTCAACATGTAAACAAATCGGTATGTGAGCCTCAAGCAGCGCCTGGCACAGGGTGCACTGTCTGTACACAGTGCTGTTGACATCGCCACATTTGTCATTGTCCTAAAGGGGATTCTCGTGTCTGGTGAAGACACTGGGCCTCCACCACCGAGTGCCAAAGGTTCCCAGCTCAGGACCCTCGCCTGGGTCCTCTGAGATCTCCAGTCACCTGTCACTCTGTCCTTTTCAGTCATGTGGCCACCCCCATCGATAAATATCAGGTTTCCATGTGACCCTCTCCATGCCTGCCAAGGAGACAGGATCCTCCACTTGGTAAAGTAGGAACTAAACCCTCTGGCAGCCCCCTGACTTCCTGGAGGACGCTTCCCTCATGTCAAAGACCTTCCCTCCCTCATTGACGCCCAGCCCCCACAACCAACACTGGCCTCCCTCCTAAGACTCTGCTGTGCTCCTTTGGGGTGTTGCCCTGGAACCCTTAATGTTGAGAACGTCTCAAATGAAACAACAGCCCATGAAGGGGAGAGAAAGGCTATTTGGGAATGAGGGGGAGGAGAGGAAAGAAATCCTTGGGTGGCTGAGACATGTCCAAGTTGTGCTGGGCTGTTGGAAACCGGGAAAAAGGAGGTTTAACGTTCTACAGCAGCGTCTGTGTCAGGATCATGAAGTGAGGAAGACAGATGGTGCAGGTCGGCCAGAAGGTGACATCTGTACAGATAAGCAGAAGGACAGAGCAGTAAACTGACTTCAGAATGATGTCATCTGAGGACCAAGGGTGCGTAAAAGTAGGCGAGACCAGAGGAAGAAGTAACCGAGGCTGCAGGCAAGAGTTACAGGGTAAGAAGGAGCAGGAACACACGGCATAAATTCACCCCTCCAGGCTGGGGGGACGTCAGAAGTTGGTGTGAAGGACGGACGTGTAGCTTATTGCTAAGTGAAGGCAGCCGATCAGAAATGCCACAAACTGCATGATTCCAGCTACAGGACACTGTGAAAAAGGTAAAACCACAGAGACAATAGAATAACCAGTGGTGCCAGGAGTTACCATGGAGGGAGAGATGGACGGGGAAGGACAGAGGAGCTTTAGGGCAGCGTAACTATTCTGTGTGATACTGAAATGGTGGATACATAATGTCATTCATGTGTGCAAACCCACAGAATGAGCCTCGTGTAAGCTGTTGGTCTCTGATGATAATCATCTATCCTTGCAGGCTCATCAGCTATAACACATGTACCACAGAATGTAAGACATTAACAACAGGAGAAACTGGGGTGTGCTGTGCAGGAATCCTGTGCTCTCTGTAGACATGAAGCTGCTCTGTATGAAAACAAGACATCAAAAAGTCAGAAGCAGCCCAGTTAGTCAGGGTGACGAGCATGTTCTAAAATTGACTGTGGTGATGGCCACACTGGCTGCATACTTTCAGTGGGTGGACTGCAGGGTATGTGGACTGTGTCTCGAGTCATCAGCAGAAAAAAGGAGAAAGAAAAAGAAAAAAGAATTCCAGTGAGGCTGACACCTGGGTAGGGGTGGCCTATGGGACGAGGAGGGGCGGGGAAGCAGGCCCAGGGACGGGACTCAGCGGGGACCCTTCTGGTAGGTGTGGATGCACAAGGTCTCCCACACACTGGAGTCACCCTGACATCGTGGGAATGTCCAACACTGCAGAGCAGAGACCAGGCTGGAGGGGAGGCCTGGGGAGCTGCCACCCTAGGGGCAGTCAGGATGACAGGCTGGGAGAGAGGGGGGTGAGGTCCCGAGGGGTGAGATCAGAAGGGATGGGGATGGAAGGGGACCCACGTGAGAGATGTGTCCTGACCATAGCAACAAGCATTCCATGTGGGCTGGGCCTGGAGACAGGCTGGCATGGATGAGAACAGGGCCACTCTGCTGGACAGAGAACACCCGAGGAAACTCCCCGAGAAGGGCCTCGCTGCCCTGGAACCTGGGGCCTCCATGGACCGCTCTCTGCCTATGTTCACCGCTGGGCCGCCCACCTCTCTCACCTCGGGGAGGTCCTCGCTGCACCCTCCACGGGTCTTCTCCTTGCTCCAGGCGGCAGATCACGTCTGGTTTGGAGAGCAGAAGCCCTGGCAGTGGGGGAGAAACAGAGGGCTCCGTGTCCTGCTCGGGGATGGGCCGAGTCCTCGCCCCAGGGTCAGATGTGCACGGACTAGGAGGGCACCCTCCTGAGGAAACTCCCCACTCCTGGAACCACCAGCCACCAACCTGCCGGGGTGGGCAGGGTGGGATGAGCACGTCTCAAAGGGCCCCACTTCCTGGCACACCCCGGAGGTGAGCCACAGCACTGGGTCCTGCAGTGGGCAGCACCCGTCTTACCCAGGGAAACAAGGTGGCTGCAGGTCTCCAGAGTCACGTCACGGTACAGCGTCCTCTGGGCTGGGTCCAGCTGTCCCCACTCCTCCCATGTGAAGGTCACAGCCACATCCTTGAAGCTCACAGGTGGCCAAAACATCACCGGTGTTACTGTAAGGCCCTGCTTTCCCGACAGGAAGGGCGAGGGGACAGGACAGCAGAGGGGAGGGAGACGGCGTGTGAAGACCCTCCAGGGCACCCAAAGGGTTCCCACCTTTGGGCTGCGTTCAGATCAGGCCCAGGCCGAGGCCCACAGCATTCTCATTTCTCTCTCTCTTAAGTATCTCATCTACCGCTGGTCACACCAGTTTTCCTAATTTTCAGTTTTGGGAACCAATGGGGACCCCTCTTGGAGATCCCACTTCAGCTTCCCTATAAAATCACAGATTGGAAGCCAGTCAGAGAGGATGCCCTAGATCAGGGGTCAGCACACTGTGGCCCGTGGGACAAAGCAGGGCTGTGGTGCGTTTCTACAAGGCTGCTGCTGTGAGCTGTTTTCCCCCAATCCACACATTGAAGTCACCCCCCAGTGACTTGTCTGGAGACAGGGCCTTTGCAGAAGTAGCTAAGGTCATGGAGGTCACAGGTCACACCATGTGATGGGACCGGTGCCCACAAAGGAGGAGGAGGAAGCACCAGAGCCTCTCCCCTCCGTGCGAGGACGCAGAGAAAGCGCCATCTGGAAGCTGGGGGAGTCCCCACCAGAAGCCGAGCCTGCTGGTGCCATGGTCTCGGGCTCCCAGCCTCCAGAACCACGAGAAAACAGACACCTGCTGTCCAAGCCCCAGCTGGTGCTGTTCTGCTACAGCAGCCAGAGCGGACGCACAGCTGAGAATGGATTTTACGTTTTTAAAGGGCCACGTGAGACAAGAACAGGAGGCAGAAGCTGCATGAAGCCTGCAGGCCTAAACAGTTCCCACCGGGCCCCTTTCAGAGAGGGCTGGTCAGCGTGCTCGCAAGGGGGGCCAGCAGGTGGGGCCTCACGCCCTAGTCTCAGGTGCCAGGCCAAGTGGGCATCTCAGCATCACGACTTGCTAACTGGACACTTGGACGTATTCCTGAACTTCTCTGGCCCGAGCTGCCCTGATCCGACTGTGAACACAGCCTCCCGCCTACCGCCCCACTCCTGGGAGTCTCACAGGACGTGAGTGGACCTGACCCCGGGCACCCAGGAAGCACAGACAACACGTGTGGCACTGGAACCGTGAACGAGGTCGGGGACCTGCCCTCACCCACTGTGCACGGCACTGAGTGGTCTCAGGACGACCCCAGCACGTTATGGGACACACACAGCTGCCCTCTTGAGTGGCCTCAGCCAAGGTCAGTGGGTCCAGAGTGGCTGCTTGTTTATGCAGGTTCAGCTCTGCCTGCACTCAAAGGTCAGCTGAGCAACCACCACAAACCGAAGGTCTGGGGAAGCAGGCATGTGCTGGGTCTGCTCCTAGGAGCTCCTGGCTTGTACACACAGGGAAGGCGTTTTATCTGCAGGAGCCTGTAGACTTCACCCCAAGGCCCCAGGGCAGCATTACAGAGCCCTCATGCGTGCTGGCCTGAGGAGGCGGGTGTTACTCCTGGACCCATTACACAGTCAAGGAGACTGAGGCAAAGAGAGCAAAGGCCCCTGACTCACATGGGTTGGGATCTGTTGAGAATGCAGCTCCATTTCCTCCTCATACCTGGAGAAGTGGTTGTGAAGAGGGCAGAGGTCCTCAGAAGGCAGGCCTGCAGTTAGGAGAACAATTAGGGGTTCAGCCCTACCTCAGCACCCCCAGTTCCCGAGTGCACCCCCATCCCCAAGAGAATGTAGCCAGTGCCAGCTGAGGACCATTCCCTTGAAGGTGAGGGGCAGGGAGCAGGGCTCTGACCATGTGGCCTCCCTGCTCAAGGTTCTGAGGTCACAAACACTTCATACATTTTGGAGAACTAAAATGTGCACAATTAACTCATACATGAGGGTTTTCTAATGTTACCCTTGCTGGTTAATACCATTCTGTATTTATATCATTGTCCAGTAATATTCGTAGATAACAAAACAAGATAGATCTATATTAGCCGTGGTAGTGTTGTTCTATAGATAACAAAAACATCATAATATTATATGAATTTTTCTAACGTTTACAAATAATATGTAGAGTGAATTACCTTAGTCATATTGAAATAAACATAAATGCAAATACAGCATAGTGATTTGCTGAGTTTTAGTTAGTTTTTCAAAGCCTAGAAATCAAGATAAAATACATGAGTATTCATATAGTATTTTCTTTTTTCTCTATTAACTCTTAGGTTTTGTTTTTCTTTTATTTCTCACTGTGTCAATAATCATTTTATTTTTTAATTGAAGTATAGTTGATTTACAATATTACTTTCAGGTGGTCAGTATAGTTACTCAGTATTTTTACAGATTATATACCATTAAAATTTATTACAAGATAATGGCTATACTCCCTTAAACTTATTACAAGATAATGGCTGTAATTCCCTGTGCTATACAATATATCCTTGTTGTTATTTATTTTATACATAGTAGTTTATATCTCTTAATCCCCTGCCCCTACCTTGGCCCTCCACCCTCCAATCTCCCCACTGGTAACCACTAGTTTATTCTCTATATCTGTGAGTGTTTGTTTTGTGATATTGGTTCATTTATTTTTTAGATTCTACATATTTGTGATGATAAATCAGACAAATACTATCTATTTTACTTAGCATAATATTCTCTAGATCCACCCATGTTGCTGCAAACGGCAGAATTTCATTATTTATTATGACTGAGTAATATTCCATTGTATATGTATACCACAGCTTCTGTACACATTCACCTGTCAATGAACACTTGGGTTGCTTCCATTAACACTGCTATGAACATTGAGGTGAATGTATCTTTTCAAATTAGTGTTTTTGTTTTTTCTAGATACATACCTAGGAGTGGAATTTCTGGATCATATGTTAGTTCTATTTTTAGTTTTTTGAGGAACCTCCATACTGTTCTCCACAGTGGCTACACCAGTTTAGTCCCACTAACAGGGCACAAGGGATCCCTTTTCTACACACTCTCTCCAACATTTGTTATTTGTAGACATTTTGATGATAACCATTCTGATAGATATAAACTGGTAACTCACTGTAGTTTTGGTTTGGACTTCTCTAGTAATTAGCAATAATGAATATATTTTCATGTGCTTTCCAGGGGTGGAAAGGGCCTGTCTGCCTGGGGCTGAGCCCAGGTAAAGGCCTTGAGGCACGTGCTGGGGTGTCCGAACGACTAGCCCACAGGTAGAAAGCCGTCCCTCAACACTCCCCTTAAATAAAGGAGGTGCTGATTTTTCTTGTCATCTCAAGATACGAAATGGGTAGGGGGAGGCAGCATCAAAACAACTAATTGTACAATTAAAAAATACCCCAATGAAACATCTGCTGGTTTCTAAAAACAGATGGGGAGATGGGGGAAAAAGAGGAGACGGAGTCCCCAGGAGGACATCCAAGGGCAGTCTGAGAGGGGGGTCTCATCCTTCTGGAGCGGCCGGATGCTGCCCCACTGCCTGGGTGCCAAGCCTGTTATCCCCTGCTTTATTCCACACTGTCACTGCGCCTAAACTCTGCTCACCCCAGAGCCTGGCTGTAGTCACGTGACCATCCCATGAAGTTAGCCAGGCAAAAATCCTCCGGGATCCACCCCAAACCCTACCCCATGTTTGACTCCTGCTCACCCCACCAGTACCAAAAGCACATCCACGCCGTGCATACACGCACCCTCGACCTCTCCAGTCACAGCTCACCCAAGATGATCCACCATTCTAGAAATGCACCCTGCATCTCCACTCACCAGAAGGTGTCTTTCATTTCATGGTAATTCCCGGTTTGCAGAGAACCATGAACCCTTGGCAAGGGCCCTCTGGGCTGGGGACCCAGAGAAACCCCTCTCTTACTCCTTCCTTCTGGGAGGCAGACACTCACCCTCCTCTTGGGCTTGGAAGCTGGCATTTTCCTCGCCCTGATTTCTCTATAAAACCCGTTTCCCTGGAGAGTCAAGAATCGAGTTACACACCAGGGACTCGTGCTCTCTCTGTGCCTCGCGTTTCTGGCGAGTCTCACCTTTGCCTTTAATCACCTGGGTAAGTGCTTCCAGCAGTGTCACCTCTTCTTGGTGGCTCTCCAGGTGCTGGGGTTTCTCTCCAGTCATGCACCAGAGTGCATGGTTGCAGGGCTGCCCCGGCAGGAACACAGTGCCCATGGCCAGGACCGGGCCTCAACGCCTGCAGCTGCTGGAACCACGAAACCCTCAGGCACAGCTCCCACCGGCTCTCTGGCTCCCAAGATGATCTCTTTTGCTAACTCTACTGCTGCCCAAACAAGCTGGGGTCTGAGGACTCCCTCCCCTGGCTTAATTCTGCAGACACTCTCCTTCTGCACACGATCTTCAGGGTGGGCCCCAATTTCTCTTTTCACACAAATTTAATATGCGTCAGGTGAGACAAGCACTCAAGTCCTCCGAGAACTAGAAAAAAAGTGAGGAGACTGAGCTGCAAATTCAATGCTAGAACACAAGATGCTCCTTCACAACACAGGGCTGGGTCTGACGCTGGTGCTGAGACTGGGCCAGATGAGGCAGCAATTAATATACAGGAAACTGAAGGCCAGAATGACTAGAGTTGCTGTCAGATAAGAAGTCTGGGGGAAGACCTGTTCACATCCCACTGGAAACCACTTAAGGCAGAACAGAAGTCCTAGACAAGACGTTCAACTCACGAGTGTGAGCGCAAGTCTCCCTGACCCCCAGCATTGAGCTTAAAAGAACACACAACCCCATACCCCAAAAGAGGTAAACACTCCATCCACCCACGACGACGTTGGCAAGGCCATACGGTCCAGAGCACAGCACTAGCACAGTGAGAACACAAGGGTGGACTCCCTAGGCCTGGGCTGTCCAAGCCCCGCACATCCCCAAGGTGTGTTCCTTGACCAGCTGCGGGGAGGCCCCCTATGAGCCACAGGGGATGTCCTACCGAATAAAATGTCTTGGTTTCCTTGGGGAAGGACCCCCCCAACACAGTGAGTGTCAGGTTCAGTCAAAAGAAGCGGCCATGAAGAGAACCTTCCCTAGGAAGCGTGAGAAAGCTGGCCATTTCCACGGGGCAGTGGTCTTCCACGGGGGCAGTTTTGCCCTCAGGGGATGGCTGGCGACGTCTGGAGACACACGTGGTTGTCATGACAAGCAGAGGGACGTGTGTGGATGGGGAAGCTGCCAGCTCCCGTCTAGTGGGCAGAAGTGTGAGGTAGTCCCGAACGTCTCCCGGCGCACAGGACAGCCCCCACGGAGAATGAGCCGGCCTCCAACCTGCTGCTCAAGGAGAGGGAACCAAAGGGCAAGGCCTCGTCATGGGGGCACCAGGACTGTTCAGCCTGGGGCTGACCTCACAAATCAGCAGACCTACAGAAAACCTATGGCCCTCTTTATTGTCACCAACTTCTCTTCCTGGATAAAACAGAGAACTTGGAGCCCACCTGGGACAGAAGTGACAGCAAACTCTCAGGATCCATGCCCCTCACCCACCAGGATGTCACCACCCCTGTGTCCACATCCCTTCCACCCTTTCTTCCACCCACGGTGCAGGCCGCCCGTCTCGACCAACCCCCACCTCTGCACACTGATCGTGGTTCTGCAGATTTCCTGACCATGGCTGTGGCTGGCTGAGTAACGGCCCCCAGAAGATGTGCTAACGGCAGAACCGGTGAGTCCGTTACCTTGCACAGCAAAAGGGCCTCTGGAAACGTGGTTTGGTTCAGGATCCTGAGATGAGGCACGTATCCTGGACTTTCTGGGTGGGCCCGATGTCATCACAGTGATCTTTATGGGGGGAGGGGAGGAGGGAGGGGTGGGGACAGAGAAGGAGAGGTGAGGACAAAAGTAGAAGTTGGGCACCCCAGGTGCTGCAGACCACGCACAGCCGTGCTTCTCCACCGCAATGTTTGTTTTAACCCCTGGTCCTTATATGTGTACTGAGAATTCTAAGGCTGAGCTGGGACACTGAAAGTCCATCTGGGCCCTCCTTCACGCTCACCAGTCACACACAGTTGGTCACAAAGACCCAGGGTCTCTTCCTTCCACACATCACATGCCTCTCCACACCCCTGGGCCCCGACGCCCGGCCCAGCTACTGCCTCCTGCCTCGGTTACCCAGCAGATCCAAATGGGTCCTGCCTCCTGGCTTCCCACTTGCTCCCAGGAAGCACCAGGAACCCTGTCAGATGCAGCTTTCCCACATCACTTTAAGTGGCAGTGTCCCACTGCCCTCGGGTTCAACTCCAGAGTCCTCCACAGACCCTGGAAGTTCCTATGCAGATTAAAATCCCCCTGTGGAGAGCTGGTTCAGACACTGAGCTGGAAAAAACCCAATTTTTCCTACACTCACACCACCACACTCACAGCACTTCTGACCCTTACGTGTGGTTTTCTTGCCCACACCAAGCAATTCTGTGACATCGGCTGGGTGTACTATAATTTAGTTCAATTCTGACACTATCTACCTGGAGGTCAAGGCTCAGTCCCACGAGACTATCCCCCGACTCTGACTGAAAGGAGTAGGTCCCCAGATGATCCACAACTTCTTGGCTATAAATGAGAGGTTCTCATGACTCCCTCAGCCTTGGATTAGATTACATGCTAGAGCAGCTCACAGAACTCTGGGAAACACTCACATCTACCAGTTTCTTAAAGGATGTGATAAAGGATACAGATGAGCAGCCGGGGCAGAGTTGGAGTTGTCATCCTCTGGGTACCCGGATGTGTTCACCAACCTGGAAGCGCTCCAAACCCCACAGTGTCGGGTTTTTATGGAGGCTTCCTCATGTAGGCGTGATCAAGTATTAGCTCTATTTCTTCCTCATGTAGGCGTGATCAAGTATTAGCACTATATCAAGTATTAGCTCTATTGTGGTGAGTGTGGTGGTGTGAGGGTAGGAAAAATTGGGTTTTTCCCTCTATGCTCTCCAGTCTTTCTGGTGACTCGCCCCCACCCAGAAGCCCAGCCAGAGCTGCCTCATTAGAACAAGAGAGGCTCCTGGTGCTCTTGTCACTTGGGAATTTACAAGGGTTTTAGGAGCGCTGTGCCAGGAACCCGGGCAGAGACCAAAACACGTTTTCTATTATCTCACAGATGCTCACCGAGCATTTCAGGCACTCGAGCATCTCTCGGTTCCCTGACCCCACATGGGCCACCTCCAGCCATCATCTGACAAGCACCCTGGCCACTCCACTGCCTCCTCAGGCCCCGGATTCCACACCAGTCAGGGGCCATTCCAAGGAGACTGGGGCTTCTGGTGAAGTCCACACACCAGGGTGCCCGCTCTGTTCCAGCCACAGATAAGACACAGAGAGAACGCAGCAAGGAAAACGAGCAGCGCTGAAAGCTTCAGGGGTCATCAGGAAGCAAAGTGGTGCTGGGGGTTGGGTCCTCCAGCTATGGGCCTCAGGGACACTCAGGAAGCTGGCAGAGGCTGGGGTCTGGCCCCTACAGCCTCAGAGGAGGAGGCCCGTTCCAGGCTGGGCTGCACCAGAGTCAAGGCCTCAGTCTGAGACCAGAGCCTCAGGACCCCAGCTTCCCACAGCTTGCTGAACATGCCTACCAAGGTTGCCAGGGAGGACCAAGCTGCTGCAGCCTTGGTATTAGTTTCTATGGCTGCTGTTAACGAACTGCCACCTGCACGGCAGCTTCAAACAAGAGAAATGTCTTCCCCGACAGTTCTGGAGGCCAGAAGCTTTTCTGCTGACAGACTTTTTAATTTATTGCTTTCATTTTTTTGCAATCTGTTCTGAGAAATGGGTGAGCTGAGACTAAAAAAATTCCTAGAAAGGCATTCTCTAACTCATGACTTTCTTTTTAAAAGTCACCAATAGATAAAAGTGAAGGGCCCTGAACGGCCAAGTCACAAACAAGGGAATAAACACCCAAACACCCAGGAAGCTGCCTGACCTCACCAGAAACATGCAGGCTGGGGTGTGGTGATAAGCATGGCTGGTATGGGAATCTCTGACAGATGGAAAGCAGCCTGGCCGTAGGTAATGACAGCCCCAGTTATCGAGTCTCTGGTACAGAAACCCCACCACCGAAGAGACAGAACAAGTTTTAAGGATAAGGATGCCGATAATAAAAAAGGATGTAGCCTAAACTTCAGTGCGAAACGTGGTAAGAGAAATAGTTTTAGAAATAAAAGTTAGCCTGGAGGAAGATACAGTAATTTCTATTATTCATTTACACACCAGACACAGATATAGAGCAAAATCTGAGTAACATAAAGGAGATATGAGAAAAACCACTTGGAAAACTTCAATATACATCTTAGAACTTGACCAAGCAGACAAACTAGAATATAAAATATAACTTACATAACATAGAGTTTAAATTATTTCAAATATAAAGTCAAGCTGAAGTATATACATAGTTATTTATCCACACGCTCCTGTCTGTGCCCTACAGACAGAAATGTTTGAATTGCCGGGGAAAATGAACAGAATTGACCCCATCCTGTGGATGAGGAAACTGAGGCAGAAAACGCCTGAGTAAAACTTACCTGCAGCCTAGTGGCTGGGGTAGAAGGCTAGAGGCTGAGTAGCCCGTAGCCCTGGCACCCTGCCATCCTGGTTCTCAGCACCCCCGTTGGTACCTGCCTGCCCGGCCCACTGCTCTGCCCTCTTTCTCAGCATCAGCCATCACAGGCACCTCTCGGCCTCTCACTTTGGGTGATCCGCGCATGCTACCACTAGCTGCCCCCTGGCCTGCCCCTGCGGACTTCAGAGTACTTGGTGGTGGGAGACAGCAGGGACATTACATTCACTCCATCTCCATTCCCCCGCAGCAGCAAGGCTGCACTCTCCCTCCCTCTTCCAGCCCCTCTCACCAAGATCTATCTTCCCTGTGCTGACAAATCTGTTCTTGACCCATGCCAATCAATGACCACCTTCCTGGCACACAAACTCTTAAGCCCACACCCTCCAGTGCTCCCCTCAGCTTCTCAGGGGAGAGGTTTTCCTTCTGGTCAAGGTAACTCCTGCATCCCAGTGCCCTGCCCTTACCCCCATGTACCTGCTCAGCCCAGCAGAGCCCTAGACAGAAGGGCTAACACCCCCACGCCCCTCCTCACGGTGCCCTCTCTCTCACACACACACAGACATACACCACACCTCAGAAGGCTGCCCACAACTCTACATGATGCCGTCTTGTTCTGACATTCCCGCCCATCCACAGGCAATCTCCTACCTGTGTCCACTCTCTGAGCCTCTCTTTCCTTGGCGAGGGCTGGGAACACCCTTTCCTCCCCACTGCAGCCAGACTGCCTGCTTGAAAGTCCCAGCTCCACCACTTGCCTCTGCAGGACCCTGCACCAGCCTCTTTACCCTCTCTGGGCCTCAGCTGCAGACACCTAGGATAAGAGCAGCCCCCACCTTGTGATGCTGCTGTGAGGATTAAATGAGTTGTGTTTACAGAGCTTAACACTGTGCTGACACACAGTAGGATCACAGCAGGTTTAATTATATAGATTATATTTGGACATAAAACTCCCCTTGTGTTTCTCCTGCTGGACCCAGAAAGGGGCTGGTCTGGCAAGGGCCCCTCCGGCTACAGGACTGGGGAGGAGGTCTCGCTTTCTCCTTCCTTTTCCAGTTTTCTTTTTCTCTGTTTCTGGGGGGTGGGGTTTCAAGTGCTGACTCAGGCTTCATGTCCAAGCTCCCTGCCATTGCCATTCCCTCTGCCACATCCAGCCATACCCTCAAAGACTTGATGAAGTAAAATTCAGATTTTTCTGGCAAGACAAAAAAAAATTCAAACTTTTTCTCTGCCCATTTGGGCCTCCTCCCTCCGCTTTAGTGTGTATTGCGCATCTGCACGAACCAGACTTCGTTAGGAGATTACCTTCCTTCTCTGTAAGGGGTCCAAATGACCCACTACTTGCTTTGTGCTGCAAGTCTGGATTATATAAACTCTCAACTCATTGTGTAACCTATGGCCCTTTGTCGCAAAACCGTATATAACTGTACTTTGACCTCTAGAGCGGGAGAGTCCTAAGAGGTCTCTGAAAGACTGCTTCCTGGGTTACAATCCTCAGGTTGGCTTGAATAAAATGTTCCACTTCTTAGATCGGCTACTGATTAACTTTTTAATCAACAGACTCCTCAACTCAACAGAGCTGAGTGACCACGGATTGCTCATCTCTTGCCCTGCAGCCTCCACCCTGACTCCTCACTAGAAAGGGAAACTCAAGCGTCCTCACTCTCCACTCCCTCGGCACTGCCCCTCGCGCTGAGTTTCTTCCACCGCGCGAGGCTTCTCCTTAGCGAGGCTGTGAAATCCACACCCCAGCCCTCAGCACAGGGCAACTTTGTATCCCTGCCCTCCACACCCCCGGCCCCGCTCACCTGTCCAGCCCTTTCTCACACCGAGCCCTCAGGCGGGGGCATCACCAAAAACAACCATCACAGGCCCCCAGCATGCCTGCCGGGAGATGGCTGATGACTTTTGCTCTGCTAAGACCGCCCCTAATTCTCCGTTCACCTAGACAACATGCAAGTTCTCTTCAAGTTGAGTGCAAAGCTCACGTACCGGTGGGAAAACACGTGTCCATGTTCTGGGACTCAGCTGGCCTCTGGGTACGGTGGAGCCTCGGCGCGCGGCCCCCGGGGTCAAGCTCACCTGAGAGCGCGGGCAAGGGCGGCACTTCCGGTGGGCAGCGGAAGTGCGCGCGCTCGGCGCGACCAACTACAAGTCCCAGAAGGCCGCGCGCCGGCGGCCGTCTCTCCCGCTTCGGTGGCAGTTTTTCCAACTGCTG